ACATTGAGAATAAAGGTCGCGCTCGTAATTTATCTAGCGAACGACCCCCAAGTCAACCAGGCTTCGCGGCCTGGCATTTCTGTCGCTTCGGCAGCAGGCGCACTCTTTACGTGGGCGACCAACGTAGCCACATCGCCACGAAATTAAGGCTATCTCTCCGAAGCAGCAGCAGCCGACGCGGCCGTGAATGTTTTATAAACGGTCGCAGATCTCCGTGTGACCTCGTGTGTCTGTGTGTATTTAGGGGGGGGGGGGGGGGGGGGGGTCAAAACACGCAGAACGTAAAAACAAAATTTGTATCGTTTCTCTTGGCAGGCGTCCACGGTGCGGACAGGCGGGCGAGACGATATATGCCAACGAGGTGGACATGCCGCCGAGAGCGAGAGACAGGACATGTGCCAGGCGCACCTGGCCCCCGCGACACTCGGGTCAGCAGGTAGTAGTGGGTCCCGCCGGGACCGACCAGCGATGGCGACTCGCGTACTTGCGACATCGCAAGCCGGAAGCGTGCGGAACGCATTCGAAGTAGCGCCGCTAATTTGTAATGCTGTTACAAATACAAAATAAAAACAAAAAATCCTTGTTTTTTTTTGGAAGGGGGAGGGGGAAAAAAGTTCACTTTATATATATATATTTTTTTTTTTAAAGAAACAAATTATGCATTGCTTAACACTCATTCTCCGTCCAAATTTCATTCATTTCATTTCCTTGAAATGAATGAAATATAGCACCAGTTGTCCCAACCAGATGTCAAAGTTTCGGAATCATACGTTATATTGTTAAAAAGTTATAAGTAATTTCCAAAAAGATTTTCAATGGGAAAATAGCCACCGACTGAGCCCTGGAATTTTAAGAAAAACACTTGTAATGTTTAAGTAAGATAACCGTCAATTCAGAAAATTTTGGAGTTTGGTTTGGAGGCCTAGCGCTGCATTTGGGTGGAGGATAAGCGTTCGGTGACGTAACCCTTATTTAAAAATATATATATGGGGTGTGTTTTTTTTTTTTTTTTTTTTTTTTAAGCTTAACGGAATTTTTAAAAAGAAACCATGAAAGCTAGGTTAATGCGGTCTGCGCAGGTGAGTTATACGGCCAGGGGGACATAGTATGAGGGGCTCATTGTAACGATCAGTCGACTAATTAGTTAAAACTCATTAATTAACTTTTTAATTAATGAAAATAGACAGATAGTTCCAATTAGAAACTAGCTCAGCGTCATCAAAAACCACTAAATCAGTAATTTTAAGAAAGACTTTGAGCGCGTGAGAAGCGTAATAGCGCACTAAAGTTACCGCTCGTGGAGCAGGTACAAGGCTGGGGCTAGATAAGAGACGGAAAAATTGCGCGGGAGCCTTATCGCAACCCCTAGCTTGTACGTGCTCCACAAGTGCTAACTTTAGTGCACTACTACGCTTCTCACGCGCTCCAAGTCTTTCTGAAAATTACTGATTTAGGGGTTTTCGATGACGCCCAGCAAGCTTCCAATTGAAACTATATGTCTATTTTCATTAATTAAAAAGTTCATTAACGAATTTTAACTAATTAGCCGACTGATCGTTACGATTAGCTTCCTATAATATGTACCCCTGGCCGTATAACTCACCTGCGCAGACCGCATTAATCTAGCTTTCATGGTTTCTGAAAAAAAAATTCTGTTAAGCTTAAAAAAAAAGACACCCTGTATATATATACATATATATATATATATAACTGAGAAGAAAAGAAAACCCTCGGTGAAAACAGCAACAACGGACGGTTCGAAGCATTGTTGGTGTTTTAAAGTATTTAGTTAGTCGACGTTTCGGCCTGAGACAGGCAATCCATCTATATATAGCACGGCTGCTCATAATTTTTCTCAGCATAACGGTGTTACGGGTGTACTCATATAATTTAATAAAGATGTTTCGAAAACACCAATGTAATGTCTGTTTCGTCGCCTTTTTTTTTTTTTTTTCAAAACGCGTGTTTGCGAATTGGACTAAGAATGCAGCTGATCATAGTGATAGACAATGACTGCGGCCCTTCATTTCATATAGTACACTCATATCTCGCTGATATGGAAACATCCAACCACCGCCCCCCCCCCCCCCCCCCCCCACGACCAATAAAAAAACAATTGTCTATATTATTAGTTTTTTTGTTGCTGTTGTGTTGTTTTTTTTGTTGTTTTTTTTTGTATGGTGATATTTTACACTGTCTAGTGATAGTTAGGGAGAGAACATTGGTCTTAAAAGGACGGGAGGAATCATATGTTGATCTTTTTAGACTTAGGCTAGGTGGCGCAAGCTACCGCCCGTTACAAAGGGTATAGCCATTAACATCCATCCATCCATGGGTCGTTTATAATAACGAGACAAAAATGCATGTATTTGTCCCAATTCGTCCCCAAATATTGTCTTTATAGCCAGGTATCCATATTAACGGGGTCCATATCAACGAGACATATGACTGTGACGTGCTTCTTTTTTGTCGAGCAACTGATCGATCGAAGGCATTGTTTACTGCCGTCAGATGAACCTTGACGAGAATAAAGCTTAGAGAGGACAAATTCCTTGTGCACCGTTAATAAACATCGCTCGATCACTAATATACCTGAAACACCGAGGCTATAGAATGGCCAACGAACCGCGGCATTACCGGTTTGCATCACCAATAAAGGTGTCTGCTTGTGTCAGGTCTGCCGGTCTCAGGTATCTGCCTGTCTCAGGTCTGCCCTGCTTGTATCGCTACGAACCCGCGCCGAGAGACGCCTCGGCCAACACCACCTAGAATAGCCAAATCATGGGAACGGCCTCCTCCACGTGACGTCATCACACTCTGAGGCTTTGACTGGACACAAGGCCCGGCGGAACGCTGCAGCAGCACTCATGCCCAATCTATGTCTGCGCTCGATCTTACTGTGATGACGTCGAAACGCTAGTGCTTTGATTATTCTACACTCGGGGTCAACTATTTTGTGCTACGTAGTCAACGCCAGCGTAGCTTCCACGGTGCTCCAACTCTGCCAAAGTTGCTTGCCCCAGCGCGTGCGAATGAGACGCAGAGCGAAGTCACACGTACTCTTGCAAAAGCTGCAGCCCTTTGGAAGCTCCGCATAGCCTTGACAATGTAGCAGAACATATTTCACGCCAAGTATAGGCGACGCAACCTAAAAACGTGCACTTAGAAAAAAAAAACGAAAAAAAAAAAACGAACGGGTGTTAATTTAGATAAGGTGTCATATCTGTTGAAAAAATAATGTTGGGTGCTCAAATGGTGGCAAAGCACTGGCCGAGGGCCCACAAGGTTGCGCGCTCATGAAAGGTTTTTTTCAGATGGTTGCTGTACGGGCGTGACATACGCAGAGTTTGCGATGTCATGTTCCTAACAATACGTTCGTACACAAGTACAGGTTCTTCCGAAGTGCATGCGCGTGGCACTGCTGCAATTTTGGAAGCAATGCAGCCTGCATTGCTTCCAAATTTGATTCGGCAGGCACCGCGGCGGCAACTCGACCTTACAAATGATGCATCTAACCGGAGACAGCCAACAAAAGACCAAAAGCTATCTGACACACCGGCGCCGCTCGTTTTGACGCTTGCATATAAACAGGAAGCAGACAGCCTTCCAGGCGCCCCGGAAGCTGGTTCGTGCGAGTTGTCGTACAGGATGAGGCTGTTGCGTACGCCGACTTCTTCGGCGACACGTTTTTTTTAATTCTAAGCGTGACCTATTCATCATCCTACTAACATGTTGAGTAGGATGATGATGTAAAAGCAGATCACCATACTTTTAGCAGTATGGTGATCTGCTTTCACCATACTTACATGGTGAATAAAGCTGCTGCTACTATTATTATTATCATTATTACTACCCCTCTGACTGCAAGTTCCGTTCCGTACGCATAGCTTACAGTAACGTCAGAGCGGCCGTCGTGATTCGTGTAGCAGCTTTCAGCTGCACGCGTACTTTTAACAGCGTAAACATCGCATCACACACACACATATATATATATATATATATATATATATATATATATATATATATATATATATATATTCTCTCTTCAAGAACAAGTGGGAATGACCCTTGCTACGGAGCGATGCCGTCACGGCCAAGAGTATACGTTCAATCAGCTCTCGAGGCTTACATGGATCGTCTTTGAGACAATTTATGCGAAACATAACTGCATCTTAATCAAATTCTCGCGCAAATGTAAAACACGAGTAGGTGCCTGCGCCTGACGCGCGCTTTATATATTTTTTTCTTCTTTCTCCTACGCTTATACTCGGCTCTTATCACCGACAGGAAACATACTATCAGCAGCGACGTCTGGGCGCGTGATTTCTGATGCACACGTTTCAACATGTTTTCGCGACGCTGAAGCTCACCGCCACGACGCATACAAGCACGCCGTCAAGCGGGCACAGACAGTGAGTGGCGCCGCACCGTCGCGTGAAAAAGGATCGTCGTGCTAAGTTCGCCAGACCGAAACCAGCCGCCTGTAGGATGATGGTTACTCCCGCAGGGGGTGGGGCGCGTTGACGCGATCTCGTCGTCGAAAACAGCTAACCCCCTCCGAACGTCCGTCAAAAACAAAAAAGTGGCGTCTTTACACAAGGAGACAGTCTGCCGTTGTTTGTTTTGCGCTCTGGCGGCAGACGACAGATGTTGTTGGCGACCGCTTCAATCGTGAAACCCTTTGAACACACACCGGAGACTCACAGTCGGAACCCCGCAGCTGCGGAACCATTCTATCTGTCCGCTCTGAAACAAATGGAGTCGTCTATCTTTTACGTCTTTCTTTTTTTCCCCAACTCCTTTCAAAAGAAGACGGCTTGGTTTTTCTTTCTGTTTCAGCCGTGACGCAACCCGCGGTGCGAGCGTATCTACTTCGAAACGTGCGTCGAGTCGTGTTTCGCGGACACGTTGGATAGACCTAGCAGGCAATTCGACATTCGATCGCCCAGCCGGGATCGTGCAGGCTCATAAGTAGGGCAGGATGTAACGTGTAACATTACCTTCCACAAGGACGACGCACAGGATCAAGCCGCAGATCCAGAAACAGCAGACAGCCCTGACGAAACTGGTTGCCGCCGTCGCTACGCTCACAACACCGGGCGCTGCCATCTTGGATTCCTGGGGAGACAGCCCGCAGCACGAGGAGCAGACGACAGGCTCAGCAAGCAGTTGCCCCGCGCTCCCTTATCCACCAACAGCACGAGTTGTCGTCGTCGTTGTCGTTTCACCGTTCACGGCACCGCGCACGAAGAAACATTGCCGCGCGTCTCGGAGCAGTTTGCAGCGACAACTGACGTCCCGGAACGCCGAAAAAGTAGGGCGATTTCCGCGGCCACAGCACCCGGAAAACCCGACGGCCTCCGAAGTCCGACCGCACGACCGGTCTGTGCAGTCTGCGAGCGAGGAGCAGACGACGGAGCGGCGCCAGCAGGCGCCCTTTTTTTTCGCTCCCCTGCCGCCAGCAGCCGACAGGCACACACCGGTCGCTCGCTCCTGATTGGTCCGCGGGGGCCCAGGAACGCGCTCTCCCATTGGCCCAGGCTCTCCGCAAAGGGTCATTAGGGTCCCCTAATTGTAGGCATTATCTTTTCCCTGCTTTCTTATGATTATTTCGCGTCCCTTCCGCAGCTGCGCTCAGCGTCCGCAGCGCGGCGCTTTATCAATGGCAGCCCCGAGAGTGCCACCGGCGCCGCCGCCGATAGAGTGAGTGCAGAGGCCTCGCTTCGGCAATTTGGAGGGCCGCTGCCTTCGGCGGCGGGACCGGCCCCGGACGACGGCTGCCGTAGTGCGTGCGGAGGCCTGTTGCGTGTTTCGGACGATTCTTTCGACCCCCCCTCTCCTCCCTCGAAATTCTACAGGTCGGAGAAAGACGGACAGGCCCGTGTTCGTGCGTGCGTGCATAATGGCGCGTAGTTATCGCGAAAAAAGTTTCTACTTTTGCGTCGAACCAGCCGGCCGGAAGAGGAGAAGGATGCATGGTCGCTTTCTTCGGGGGGGTGCTCTCTCATATTTTGTTCTCTTCGCCGCGGTGTTATTTACCTGTGGTCGTTTTCGGAGGAGGGGATGCGGATTGTGGCCAGCGACGAAAGGACGTCTCCTCTTTCTTTTCTTTTTCGGGGGGTAATTTGGGCTCTCTACACGCGAGAGAGAGCGAGCCGCACACACAAAAGCCGCGTCGAAGTCGCTCCTAATAACAATAATGCAAAGTCGTTCCCGAGACGAAAGCCAAAGCAAAGAAGCGACCGCTGCCCTGCAATGCAGCGAGCGGCCGACTCCGACTTTCTCCATTTCCATTCCCACAGAGTTGCCCTCCGTGTCATTTGCGCCGCGTTCCCTCCTGCCCGGTCTGTGATCACCGCGCATGGGGAGGCAACCGAGACCACGCCAGGCACGCCGCAACGTGCAGCAACGTTCGTCGTCGTCATCGCCGCACTCCTTTCTATTCTTCTATCTTTCGTTTTTTTTATCACTCAAGGCTGTCGAAAAGAAACACAGGTCGAACCAGCAGCGCTTTCCCTCCTCCGCGAGCGCCATTTGGTAGGAATGCGATTCTCCGAGATTTCGATGGTTGGGTCGCCGGTCCTTTGTCCCTTTCTATTTTGTCCCGTCTTTTGTACTTTTTTTTTCAGCTTTTTTTTCCAAGGGCCGCTGGTGATGCTAGATCACGAACAACCAGAGTAGGCGTCGTGAGAGTTTTTTTTCCGAGAACGTCGTCGTTACGACGCTGCAACAAAGGAGAGCAGGATTCTTTTTGTTTCGATCGTTTGTTTATTTTTCGCGAGGAGGGGGGTTTCGGAGAAGGTGATTCGTCTGCTCCTGCATCCTAAGAGTCAGTCAGCGGTGTCAGTAGCATCATCACAGGCGGGAGAAGCAGCAATTCAGCCTTGAACTTGTGCCGCGCTCGACATTAGGCCGGTAGGCGGGTGCGCTGGGCCCCACCGCAAGGGGAGAGGGGATGCGACCCTAATTTGGGTAGAATTATTTACTCGTTTCCAAGGTGCAGGTTCGGGCACGGAACGGACGGCGCGCGCGCCAGCGCGCGGTTTGTGATCTCGAAATGACGACGCTGAGACGACACGGTTCCCCAGAAATTGCTGCCGAAGTACGGTCGTTATAGATATCCGGGAGGCCTTCTTTGGACGCGGCTGTTCGTGAGCGAATGGAATGATGTGTTTGTTTGTTCTTGTTGTTTAACGAGAGGCAGAAGAGTTTCCAGACAAAGGCTTTTGTTGCATTGGACATGGGTTGCTCTTCGTCGCCGTGGCTGCCATTGCATTGTTCATTGAAAAATTCCCGCATCACCGGCGCCAAGCCGCGGTGGAAATCACGGCCCGTCTGCCGCGAGCTTTCCGCTCCGATGAACACGTGCAGTGGGCTGAGCAAGTGCAATGAAAGCAGCAATAAGCCCCTTCTTTTTCGAAAGGTCTATATGTGGCTTCAACGTGACGAAATTCCGCAGTCATGGGGGTTATTTCCACCCTAGAATGGATCTGCTGTAAGCCCTATTTTCCTAGAAAGGTTTGTATATGGCTTCGACATGTCGAAATTCCGCAGTCATGAAGGTAATTTGCACCGTAGAGTGGATCTGCTTTGAAGATTCGCTGTGCGTAGCAAATTTAACGAGGTGGAGAAAGAAGCGAACAAATAGAAAAAATGGGGAGACGAATTGTCGTCAGAGATCACGTACAGCTATAGCCTAAGCAACCCGTGGCAATTCTCGAACCTTTTGGCTCCGCAAGTCAGTGGGACTGCGGCGTGTGTCGGTAGACGAACGGAAGAAATAATGGCGAAGCAAGTGATGGGAACATAGTGTACCATGCGTTTCTTTCCATTGACTATATTAGTCTATATAGTCTGCGTATAGTGCGGAATTAATAAAAAGTTTGCTTTTAAAGCCCGATCCATGTGCACGAAGAAGTATCCGACGGATCGTTTAGACCCTGCCGAAAAGATAGCCAAATGCATTCGCGCGAAGGTAAACTTTAGAAACCTCGCGTCCCTCAGCGTAAGCCAGCGTCGCCCAGCGTTGCTCAGTAAACGCCCCGGCCCCAGCATCACTCATCGTCGTTCAGCATTGGCCGGCGTCACTCGGCGACGCCCAGCGTCGCTGAGTGACTCATGACGCATGAGCGCAGCGAACGTAGCGCAGCGAACGTAGCGCAGCGCAGAACGTGGGCCTTTGATTGGCCGGCGGGCAGGAAATCGGTATACCTGTGATCAATCACTATCGGTGTTCGCTGCACTACGCCGAGTTTGCTACGCTCGACGTTGGAGTATAACAGAGCCTTTAGCATCACCATGCGTCACCCCGGAGTGATTATCAGCGTCGCCCAGCGTCGATCAACATAGCGCAGCGTCGCCCAGCGTCGCTCAGCATCATCTGGTGTCGATCTTTTATACTACGGCGTGGAGCGTAGCAAACACGGCGTAGTGCTGTGGACACAGGTTCTGATTGGTCGCAGATGTCAAGTTCCTGCTCGTCGGCCAATTAAAGGCGCACGTTCTGTGCTATGCTGCGTTCACTGCGCTCGATGTCGGAGTGCTTTCAGCGCTACCCCTCGTTGTCCAGCGCCACTGAACGCCACCCAGCGTCGGGCATCATCGCCTAGTGTCGCTCAGAGTCGCCCAGTATCACCGAGCGTCGCCGCCACCCTCAGCGACGCTCAGTGCGTTTCCCAGCGTCGTCCATCGTCGCCCAGCGTCACCCAGCGTTGCTCATCGTCGGACAGCGTAGCCCAGCGTTGCCCAGCGTCACCCAGCGTCTATCAGTGTCGCCCAGTGTCGCTGTGTTTTGTAGCTCATATTCAAAGCTTTATCTATATTCAGATCTAAAAATTTTCGAATGATACACCGTTGGTTTTCTCCGTCGTTGAACTCATTTAATAAGATGTACTTACACACATGTTTCAGATCCTCAGAAGAAAACATTTTACACGGGTAAATCTTAGAAAATCTCCAGTGATAATACAGATCTGGTTTGGGCAACAAATTGAAGTAGGTAAAACTTAATTGTTGTCCCTTTTTCTTTTTATTTGGGGTGTTTCCCCACTTCACTTGATTTTGCAATGCGGGAAGGCAAAACTACCGGCATCCTCTCTGGAGCGGCGAGAGTCAATCAACTCGTCATCACCAAGAGCGGCACATATCTAAAAAATGATTTCTACTTTAAAGTCTAATGTATCGGTCAATGTTTTATCAAGGTTATCTACAAACTGTGCATTTTTTGTTTTCGCTCTGGATTGCAAACGACAGTTGTTGGACTTCGCTGTTTTTTTACAATACGAATGACCAACCCCTACCGTATTGCTGGCGCGCACTTCAAGTGAAATCTTTCATATTATTTCACGTACATAAGACCGTCAATCTACGGGGAAAAGACGAATAGAACATGTCATGAAGCAACGGTGAGGGTGCAGGCTAGCTGGTGTAAATTGAGCATAGTTGTAAACCCGAGACTGGGGATACGGACAAGGGACAAACACAGAACGACACGGACGAAGTCTCAACTTGACATGTTTCAGACTTCGTCCGTGTCGTTCTGTGTTTGTCCCTTGTCCGTATCCCCAGTCTCGGGTTTACAACTATGCTCAAAGAACATGTCCCTTCTTTCGGAATTACATGCAATGTACTGTTTTCGTTTACAAACAGAAACTCTATACCATCAATCTGCCGAGAAAAGCCGAGCATAACATGTACCGTCTTTCGGCAATACATCCGATGTACCGTTTTCGTTCGCAAACATGAACAGTACTGTAGAAACGCAAATGAGCTATTAGAGTGTTTTAGGAAACCGTTTTTGCGCATCGGACAAACACCCAAGAAACATTACTGGCTGGCTCGACCCCAACCGACGGAAAAGGAATTTGCGAGCAAGCGGCGATTGCTCTAGCAGCCAAGTTATCGGTATAGACAAGAATTTGTCGCTTTTTTTCAAACGGAATAGGGCATATAACCATACGATCCCAAACAGTGTGAAACTCACACCAACAATGTTTCACGTATTTGTATGTCTTTTTTTTTTTTTTTTTTTGCTTTAGGTGTTTTATTTTGTCTAGTTACGACGTAATAATCCGACGGTTATTTCTCTGATGAACCCGAAACCTAGCCCAGTCACCCATTTCTTTGTTCGTGTTTATTTCATTAACTACATTTTGTCTTGTTCGAAGCCAAACGTCGGAGTTAAGCGTCGCGTAAGTATACCCAGGTGCAACTGGCTCGATATTGATGAACAACTGAAACAACCATAGATGTATGAGACCTGCTAAAAAATTCAAGGCACGCAACAACAAAACAAAAAAAAAAAAAAATAAATAAACTCGCTGCGAACCGGTCGGTCGGTAGGTAAGCATGGAGATATCTCATGTAGCCGTTTCTCGTCGCGGTCATTTCATTTTCTCTCGCACTCGAACCTCAAATCAACTATAATGTGTCGCGACGGATATCCCAAAGTGCCCCGTGCCGGTAGCA